AGGTGGTCTAGACCCTCCACCTGTGAGATTCCATCCCTGTGCCCCCTCTGTGTCTCACCTGTCCCTGTGGTACATTGACTGTGCCTTGATTTATAAGATCATCCTCCTCTTGTATACTATTCCTATTATCCACCTGTCCCGTTGATGTGTAGACATCTTGCTCACTACGGTAACTCTTACTGCTGTTAGGGACATTGCCATTGTTTGAGGGATGAATAAGAAATTCTTTGTCGTTTTCTAAAGCCATGTTGAACTGAGAAACAAATATAATACAGCTCAAAATTCCAGTCATGATCATGATGACTCTGAGCCCATTCATGCAATAGGGACATCATCTCAGGACCGCCTTATGGGCCACCTTTTTTCAAGCCGGCCCATAAGGCGCCCTAAATTTGGTCTGACTTTATAAGTCAGTTTAGGACTTGCAATGCAAGACCTGGGCAGACTCATCTTCACATCTGTTACAAATATGTATTTTTTTAAAATTATGAACTGAATCGTCATGCATCTGTGAAATATACTGTATTTTTTACTGGTGTCTTGGTAGCCAAAATAGGGAGCTTTTGGTTGCACGACAACGGTAGGACCAAGGAGGCAATTTTATACCTCCTTGGTAGGTAGGACGTACAGTAGAATGTAATGATGTCACTAAAAGTCTTCTGCGCATGCGAGAACGTTAAGTTCTCCTCGTCGTGTGAATTCTAGGATATAATTTGGCCAAATCTACATATGCTGAGAACCTAGAATGCCTGGTACGACGGTCACGCATGAGTGATTCCGTTCCAGCATCGCGTCATCGCACAAATTGAAAGCTCCCTACTGACTAAGTAGAACTCTACCAATCAGGGACTGTATGTGGAGCTATGCTGAACCTTTCTAAAGTGGGGGAAACTCAGTGCCCAACAGGATTATACAAAAACACCACAAAGCACACACAACAGATCAACAATCCGTTCAGACTGCTGCTGACAAACAGCAGACAGCATGTGTCAACTAGCGCTTACAGGGAGCAGAATTAAATTTGTTGGCCGAAGGTGATACAACGCAGCGTACAGAGCAATGAACTTTTTAGCCAAACCACAGTCCCTGCACAAAGCAAAGCTGACTTGGCCCTAACTTTAAACTTATGTCTTGCTATCCTACTGCAAGATACGGCATGTAGGAAGAATATCCATATTATGTCTATTTAGCTGGTAATTACAGTTTACACAGCTTCCATATTATAAATTTTTTTAATTGCGTGGAGGATATTAAAAAAATCAGCTCAAATTTGCGTGGAATATCATTGAGAAAATAGGTGAGCGGAATCGTAATTGCTGCATGATTGCATTGGTTATTATACATCAAGATTTGTTCAAATCCTAATTTTCGGCAAAATCTGCACGGAAATCAGCCCCTATTTTTCCAAATTGCTGGAACAGACTTCTATCTGGGCAAATTTTTGCACGGGAGGACGGAGGATATATTCCCTGTGCAGGCCTATATAAAGTCTGGCATAGCTTCCTCTTGATTTTGAGCATGCACACCAACCCAACCTTACCTATATAAGGAATTAGAATCATATTCATTATAATAGATAGTAGAAAAGATAGTAGTAAAAAAACTTTGATTTTTATCTAATCAATTAAATTAATTATTATATATAAGACCATCGATTGGAATAGACCAAACTCTGCTTTTGGATACACTATCTTCGCTATTCAATAAACACACTGTAGATGCCTTAGGCGATTTTTCTACGGAAGCACCTAAGTGCCATTCGACTTGACGACTTGTCAAGATAATTTATGTTGTCAAGTCGACATAATATACATATCATGTCGACATGGCGAGATAGATTATCTTGACAAGTCGTCATAGTAAAAATTGTATGTTGTCATGGCGAGATAGATTATACTGACAAGTCGACATAATACTGTACATATTGTATGTTGTCATGGCGAGATAGATTATCTTGACATGGCGAGATAGATTATCTTGACAAGTCGACATAATATAAGTTGTATGTTGTCATGGCAAGGTAGGTTATCTTGACAAGTCGACATAATAAAAATTGTGTGTTGTCATGGCGAGATAGATTATCTTGACAAGTCGACATAGTAAAAATTGTATGTTGTCATGACGAAATAGATTATCTTGACAAGTCGACATAGTAAAAATTGTATGTTGTCATGGCGAGATAGATTATCTTGACAAGTCGACATAGTAAAAATTGTATGTTGTCATGGCGAGATAGATTATCTTGACAAGTCGACATAATAAAAATTGTATGTTGTCATGGCGAGATAGATTATCTTGACAAGTCGACATAATAAAAATTGTATGTTGTCATGGCGAGATAGATTATCTTGACAAGTCGACATAATAAAAATTGTATGTTGTCATGGCGAGATAGATTATCTTGACAAGTCGACATAATAAAAATTGTATGTTGTCATGGCGAGATAGATTATCTTGACAAGTCGACATAATAAAAATTGTATGTTGTCATGGCGAGATAGATTATCTTGACAAGTCGACATAATAAAAATTGTATGTTGTCATGGCGAGATAGATTATCTTGACAAGTCGACATAATAAAAATTGTATGTTGTCATGGCGAGATAGATTATCTTGACAAGTCGACATAATAAAAATTGTATGTTGTCATGATCTATCTCGCCATGACAACATAACATTTTTACTATGTCGACTTGTCAAGATAATTTATCTCACCATGACAACATACAACTTTTATTATGTCGACTTGTCAAGATAACCTATCTCGTCATGACAACAGAACATTTTTAGTATGTCGACTTGTCAAGATAATCTATCTCGCCATGTCGACATGATATGTATATTATGTCGACTTGACAACATAATTATCTTGACAAGTCGTCAAGTCAAATGGCACTTAGGTGCTTCCGTAGATTTCTAACACTGAAACAAATGAATTACAGTCTTCATTATAGAGAACAAGCTCCAGTGCTGTCAACGTGCATCCACTCTGCCTCTGAGAGATGGGTCAACAAAGCTGCCTAATAGTGGCGGTGGTGAAAAGAGCATTGGCTGTCCGTAGGCCTAGGTTGGGCTTACCTAGGTAAACACATGTACAATAAGCTTGAACGTAAATGGACATGGCGGAATAATGTTGATAATAAGTTTCATGAATTCCACTTTACTTACCTATATAGTAACACGGCCTATAGCTAGAGTAAAACACGGATCAGCTGACTACCGACTCCGATACTTCGATCGTGACACACAAGCGTGGACCCGTACAACAGCGTCACGTGCGATCGAGTTGTATTATGCAAGTCACAAAAGAGGGCGGAGGCAGAGTGGCGTGAGCTTGCTCAGCATGCTAGTGTCTGTTAGTCACTGGCATGACGTTTGCATTATTGAGGGTTAAAAAATATATATTATACATATTTAAAAATTAATTTTTATTATTCCCAAGTTTGTTTTTTTGTGGTAATTAATAAACATGGCAGGCGGAACCGCCCCACCCGCAACTTTTTTTCAGAAAATATATAATGTCTATGCAGATTTTTGTACGATTGGCTCCCTCGCAATTCATATTCCCATTCATCTTACTAGTGGGCCACACAAATGTTCCGCCGGCCCTGATAGGTAAATAAATCCTCCGCAAGGACCACCACGGGAAGAAACATCATTTAACTGGAAAGAAACTATATGATAATAATGGTTTGTTTTGACTTATTAAAAGTCTCTATCACAATGTCTTTTCAAACACATAAGCCCTAGCTGACTTGATACAAATGACAAACCAAAACGACAATGTCTCGTGGGGGAGGGGGTACAATATTGTAGATTGATGCTTCCATGTTTAATGTGACATCGTAGTTGTTTGTATACTATGTTAAACCTATAAGATGTCAAGGTGGAGGTGTTTGTTCCATATAAATCATTAACGGCATTTCCAATAATTTTACGAATGATATAAGAAGCAGGCTAAATTTATTTATTTATTTATTATTTATTCGTCACGCGTTATTCTTAAAAATTCGTCACTATATAGATAAAAACATATTGACCAGGGGCGTGCACGACTAGAGATGACATGGGCTAACCCAACACAACAAGGTAATCTCTAAACCCCTTGCCAACAACAATAAGATAAAAATATATATTTAAAAAAATCATAAAAAATATTCAAAAAATATGGTAAAAATTTAAACATTCAAAGCATCAATAAAATAATTAAAAAGCAAAGTTTTGAAAGAAATGAAGTCAATGGGATCGCATGTAGGAATTATATAGTGATTTAAAATGTAAAATATTTAAGATCTTATATTCAGTACATTCTCAAATGTTATGTAAATCTCATATATCCCAAAATTACGTTATATTCATGCACTGAAGTAGAAAGTTTAACTTAATAATTTTGATATGTTTTATGTTGAATGGTTTTTAATATTAGTCTAATATGACCACAACATAAGGAAATTCTCTCTTTTAAACTTCTAACCTACTAAACTTTGCGTACCTCAATATACATTATTATATATTTTCTTAAATCAAGGAAGTCCACTCGTTAAATTAG